TGGCTCACGCTGTTTCTGTCCCTTCTCTAAGAGGATTTACCTGCTGGGGGCAGGCGGTGGTGGCCAGGACGCAGGGCAGCGTGTGGCAGGGGATGGCAAAGCCCTGGGTTGGGGGATGATCAGAAGTGGCTGACAGAGATGTCTGATAACACATCTCGGATCGAGCCGTTTCCGATTGCATAGTTCTGCAGGCTACAGTCAGGGCAGACCAAGTCTGGAACGACTTCTCCCTTCTAATTGAGCCTTTTTTGTTAGGTCAGAAGCACAGTCCTAGTGTTTCCTTCCCAATTCTGAGGAGTGGGAAGGTAGTGTGAGTGTTTACAGATGATTACCCTGATGTAGCATGTGCCACGGGGGTTGCAGACTGAAAAAGTTACCTTAAAGTGGGTATGACTACATCTAAAACACTTTCTGTCTGTGCCTTTGGGAAGGGATATTGCTTTTAGGAAATGCCCTCAGTGAGGTGAGGTCGAGGGGCAGGAGAAAAGAGATGGAGGTGCAGCATGGGCCCTTCAATTATTATGTGAGAGTACATGAGAAGAGAGTTCTTTACTTTTAAAATGGCTTTAAACAAGAAAATCACTGAGAAAGTGCCTTTGATAGTAGTGTGGCATAAAATAAATTCCAGGGAAGGCTGCTCTTGTCTCCCAGGTTTTCCTGTTCTGCAAATATGTGTGTGCCCTCCTCCCTCTTTTTGACAAAAAAGAGGGTAAAAATACCCATCCCTGATAGTATCCATGATAGAAAAGTAAGGCTTACATTTTCAGAGTTAAGTTAAACAGCAGCAGTAGTACCTTTTCCCCAGCTCTGTCCAAAGGTGTAGTGACCTCATGTGGATTTGTGCATCTTCCAGATGAGTAGCAGCACACCAAGATGTGTAGGAGGGAGTGAGAAATTCCTCCCTCAATCCTGAACTCCTCGAGTGCTGATTAACTTCTGCCTTTGGTCCAGATAACTCAGCTGGAACTTTTGAAAGGAATTTGGGAGAAGGAGGTTTTGAGCCCTGAGTTGGTGCCTGGAGATCCACCTCCTTTGTCCTGTGGGAAGTAATGGGTCCATGAGTGAGAGTGACCAGCTGAACATGGTTTTGGTGTCTTCTACTTCTGACTGGGGACTTGTGGGCTTCCACAACTTTTTTTATTCCACCATGGTGTTGTTCTAAAGCTCTCTCACCAGCACAGACACTTTGTATCCTCACTGAGAATGTTTTTTTCCCAAATATGGGTTGAAGTTGACCAAGTTCAAAGCTATTTTGAGGCAGAGATCAAACACCTATGTCTGTACACAAATCCACTGGAGTTACCAAAGCTTCCTCTTAAGAAACAGTGCTTAAATGGTCTTTCCATAAGGCTAAATTTTTAGCAAGTGTGGCTAATCTCTAATTCTAATACATAAGAAGGAATGAATATTCAAATGGGAGGAAGATAAACACAGTCACAAGCCAGCTGAGTAAAACAGGGAGGATAATATGCCAGAGAAAACATTTTCAGTGTTTCATTCTGCTGCAGTAATAGCATTTTTGCCTCAGAGCATTTGCTTCAGACTTTTCCTCCCCTAGAGGAGGGTGTGGAATCCCACCTACTGTATTTTGTCAGGAGTGAGAGATCAATTCGAGCAGATTGTTCCATTTCAAAGTGGTTGAAGGGATTCTGAGGAGGTGATGACTGGCAGGGTTCTTTTATGCAAATCTGAAACACAATCAAACTCACTCCAGATCTTAAAAATCTCTGAAACGTTTGTCTTAATATGTGAATGTGCTTCAGGGAATAGAGAGTATAAATGTTAATAATTAATTATTTAAGCGAGACGACAATTTCTGATGTACCTTCTGGTTTTATTCAGCAATAACTCTCAGGTGAATATTTCTCCAGGGCGTGAGATCATCGTGAGAGTGCTTATGACCCTTGCTCAGCTTGGGAGTTGAGTTATCCTGATATTTAGCATGAAAATTAATGAAGGAGATGAACCTTTTGTGCTGGATCGGAAGCTGATCTTTGAACTCTTGAAGGTCAGCTCCAAGCAGCAGTGACTTTTTACTGGACAGCAGCTTTGTTTGGAGTGTGGTGGTGTTACCATGTGCCAGGCTGACACGTGCAATTATTTATGCCTCACTTGAGTGCTTAGATGAGAGTAAAGCCTCACTTGAGTGCTGAGATGAGAGTACAGCAGTGCTGCTCGCTGCCTTGTGTAATGGTGACGGGATAACGTTTGTTCTTTGGCTGCTTCTCTGTCATGAGTATCTCTTTCTTTTATATCTTCCTCTGTCATGAAAATATCTTTCTTTTAAAGGATATCAACCAGAAGCTGCAAGAGGATAACCAAGAGCTGAGAGACCTTTGCTGCTTTCTGGATGATGACAGGCAGAAGGGCAAGAAGGTGTCCCGGGAGTGGCAGCGGCTGGGCAGGTACAGCGCCAGCGTCATGCACAAAGAGGTGGCCTTGTACCTGCAGAAGCTGAAAGAGCTGGAAGTGAGGCAAGAAGAAGTGGTGAAGGAGAACCTGGAGCTGAAAGAACTCTGCGTGCTGCTGGATGAGGAGAAGGGTGGAGGGGCAGGCAGCAGGAGCTCCATCGACAGCCAGATCAGCCTGTGCCAGCTCACGGCGACCAGCTCCTACATCAGGGACGTGGGGGATGGGAGCAGCACCTCCAGCACGGGGAGCACAGACAGTCCAGACCATCACAAGCACCACCCCAGCAGCAGCCCAGAGCACCTCCAGAAGGGGAGGGGGGAGGGCAGCCCTGAGCACCAGAAGCGCAGGAGCCTCAGCCCCGAGCACCTGCAGAAGCCCAGGAGCTCTGGCAGCCCCGATCACCACCTGAAAGGGCCGAGTCCAGAGCATCACAAACCCATTGTCAAAGCCCCTGAACCACAGAAGCACAGCAGCAGCAGCCCAGAAACGATCCCAAAGCACGTTTTGAGCAGTAGCCCTGAACACTTTCCAAAGCAGAGGCCTGGTGGCAGCCCTGAGCACCAAAAGCACAGCGGGGGCAGCCCAGATCACCTTCAAAAGCACACACCAAGTGGAAGTACAGAACACCTCCACAAAGTGAGGGGCACGAGCCCTGAGCATCTCAAACAACACTATGGAGGGAGCCCAGAGCATCTCAAACATCTCAGTGGAGGCAGCAGAGAAGGTACCCTCAGGAGACAAGTAACAGATGACCTGTCACCTCACCACAGAAGTATATACAATGGAATGAATGGTGGGTCAATGTATTTAGTGAAAACTCCCTTTGCAAGGTAGCTGAAATAGCCCTGAAACCATTTTTTGGGAAAGGAGTGATGTTTTATGTGAAATGGAAGGTAACAGGGTGTCAGCATTGCTCCTTTAGTCACTGAATTAACCAAAATATACCTGTCTGTCCCTCTGGCAGGTGTTGGGTGGATTTAAAAACAAAAAGGAGAGGAAAAATGCATCTTGAGTGTTGGTGTAAGGTCTCAAGAAGCAGCTCTTGGCCTGGATCCTGCTCTGCAGTTGGTAGATGTTTGTCCTTAAGTAGAGTTCTGTTTGCAGCAGCGGGGAGTTGTGTGTGTGTTTTTTGAGTCAGCAGGAGGGAGGGGAATGTCTCCAGTTCCATTTCTACCTTCCTGACCTACCCTGTCTGGAGCTTTAAAGATTTTTGCATTTCCTGTTTATTGATGGAAGGTTTCTTATGCCCTTTTCCATAAGCTCTGGGAAAAAGCCCAGCTGAAGAGCTAGGCTCAATATAAATGAGTCTCATAGCTCTTAAAGCTTTTCAAAGCCTTGAGTTTGTGTGTGTTTAGTTATGACAAATTAAAAATTAAGGAAGGTCTTAAGGGTGGTTCTTTTTTTTTGATGCTGTTACTGCTGCATTTTGGAAGGAGCCAGTAATGGGCTTAGCTTTTAGAGCTGTCTGTCCTCACTGATGGAAATGAGTCCTTTTTACAGGTTAAGTATTTGGGTATTTTGAAAGACAGGCAGGCAGCTACAACTATAATAATTTGCTGTATTTCATTTATTTCAATAAAAACAAAGTTCAAACTTTGTCCTATGCTGTAGGAACAGCTTTTTGTAGACCTAGCAGAATTTCTGGAGTCTGCTCCATTTTGTTCCTTGTGTGTGCTTTGAGATGTTTTCCTGAAGGATGTTGTGTCATAGTTGGAAACCCATTTCTCAGAACTTTACACTTAGATTTGAAGTCAAGCTCTGACAGAAGTGAGGACTTTGCCTTCGTAAATTGTCTTGGATGGAGTTTGTGTTTCCATTTTATAAACAGCTGTGAGAAGCTGTGTTGACATGGGTGGAACTGGTCACTTCTTCTTGGATCTGCTTGTGGGTTGGAGGAGACACTGAGCTCTGTGCTGGGCCCTGTCCTCACCACCTATCACATCACTGTTTATCTGTCATGGTGAGCTTCCAGGAGGTTAAGATAACCTGCTCTGCAGGACAAATCCAGATTACTTTCAGTGAAATACATGTGCTTGACAAGGCTGAGGAACCCCAAAGTATGAGTGTAGAGGCTTCTCTTCCCCATACTTTAAAAACAATGAAGGTATGACAATTGTGTGACATAAATTCTAAAAGCTGGGCATACAAAACTTCCATTAAATGCTGTATATCTTTCTCTGTTCAGTCCTTTCTCTTTACCTGGCTGTCAGTAGTGTGAAGTATGGAACCAGACTTCCTAAAAGTGGCTTCTTCTTTGCACTCATGGTGTCCAGCAGTCCAGTCACTGGTTATGTAGAAAGGTGATCTAAGGTTCTAAGTATAGATTTTTAAAACTCATGCACAGTCAAAGGGATAGTTTTCCTGCTCCAAACACTGTGGGCTTTCTGATTATTTCTTTTTGTCCAAATAGTTTTATTAAGAACACAGTTATATTATGAGCAGTGCAGTGAAAGCAGTTGTTGCTTTCAACCTGAGTTGCCTGATGTCCTTTGTGCAGAATATTTCAACTATCTACAATTTGGACTTGGGCCACAAGAAGCTGGAGAGGGCAGCTGGTGATTTGGGAGTCTGTTTATTGACTTTAATCAGAGCTTTGCCTGTCCTGTGCTTTATAGAATCATTTTTGCAGACAACTCCTCTCACCAGTAAGCTGTCAAACCTCTCCTCATATTTATGTAATTTGATGCAGGCTTGAGGTTTAATTCTGACTTTGTTCTGACCTTGCTCAGTGGTGAGACTCTTGGCAGCCTTACTCTAAAACCTCTCCCTCAAACTTTAGGAAAACACTTTGGTCTTCACTGAATTATTTTGGTGGTTCTTTTTTGTGTGTTTTGATTTTTGTCAACTGCTGTGAAGTCGTGGAGAAGAACAGCTAATATGGAAATGGTAAAAGTGCTGACCATGATTGCTTCTCGGTGGGGAAAAATGTGAGTAAATCTTAATTTTTATGACCTGTGTACACTTGTACACATGAACCTGCCAGCTGAGCATAGGTGGGGACCTGCACTGAGCTGTGGTGGAAGCCCTGAGCTTTGGCATCTCTTGTGGTGAGACTGCAGAAGTGAGTTACAGAGAGGTGTGGAAACTGAGCTCTGGTGAGCAAAAAGGAGGCTATTTTTGATTCTTATCCCCAAATCATGTACTAAGTATACTCTGCCTCACTGGTGGAACCTAGTTTGTTTTCAGATTTGGAGCTTATCTAGCTGGCAGCTGTTTGACTGCACATCTGGGTGATTCTAATCTTACTCGTGGGCTGTCATTTGAGCAGCAGGAGTGATGGTAATCCTAGGTGAAGAATAGCAAAGACTAACATGGTTTGACTCCTCTGTAAATACAGGAAGAAAAGAATGTGCTTTAACTAGGTAATCAGAACTTAGCAGCCTCTTCCATCTACACTGGACTCTGAGTCAGGCCTGAGAGGAGAAGGTGTCTCTGCCTGCCAGAGCTCATCCCAAAAGGCACTGGGCTGTCTACCTGAAGTTGCTGTTCCAAACTGGCAAGCATGCCTGTGAACATCCCAGCTCTTCCTGATGAAATGAGTTTCCCTGTGCTGCTGGCAGCTCCTGTTCTGTAGCAGAACTCTGGCTGCATGGAAGGATGTGGGGAATGGAGTTGGGGTGGCTGCAGGTTTCTGACAAACTCTTAAGCTGAAGTTAAAGCAGCTGGAATATCCAACTCCAGAGCTCTCAGAAGTAGGAGGTGGAGCTGTAGGCTGCTCTACAGGACATGGTCTGTGCATTCATCATTTGGGCTTCATGCACATTTTCAACTGTCCTGAGATGTGCAGGAAGTTACTTTGGTCCACAGGCACAGCTGAGGGAGTAAAGGATGAGGTGAAAACATTTCCCTTCATAATTCTTATTTCCTAGGCTCAAAGGTGTGATTTTATTTTTTATTCCTTGTCAGCTTTCATTCATAAGATGTATAAAGCTTAAAAATAAAACTACTTCAGCATTTCTCTACATATTTTTCTGAAATGTGTGTCCTCAGCCTTTGGAGTGACAGAAAACGGGATGGGAGAGCTAAATTGGGCTTGATGTTTAACTGAAAACATATGTAGCCAAGCTGAAAGGCTCTAACCAAATAAAACATGATGCTGTGATCACACCTAAACGTTCTGGGGAATGAACACAGAGGTATTTGGGATAGAAAGATTGCTGAAATTAGGAGAGAAAACACCAGCAGTAAAAGCATTTTAAAGAGACCATTTATGCAACCTAGAATAATACATGAGAGTTTAACTCTGACACAAATATGTGCAATACAAGTGCCTCTGGATAAATTAATGTGCTTTGAGCATTTGCAGTCTAAATGCTGTTTTTTATTCTAAGCAACTTTCTATTTTAAGGAATCCTTTTTTTTT